CCGACCGGCTTCAATCTCTACAAGCGGGCGACATTAATATACACGTTTGGGAGCAATTAAAAGAGTTTTAGAAAAGATTTCCACGTTTCGTAGAAGCAGGACAAACGCAAATAAAATGAAGAGACTCTGCTTGAAATGTCCGACAGTTTTATTTTGAATTATTTTACAAATAAGTCAAAAACAGCTAAATATTATGGAAAACATTTCCTGGCAAAAAAAAAAAAAATAAAAATAAAAAATAAAAAATTGTACAGTGTCACTCATCTGAAAAATAGTTGAATAGTAGCAAAAAAAACGAAAGTGGAAGGGATACTGACTTGGATGTTGTTATTGTTATGGGGTCCATCCCTTTTTCATACAAGTGGACTCGACCAGTGTGTACTTGGACTGCTGCCGTTAAATACCCAGAGTCAGTCAGAGTAGAGAGAACAGAGATTGTGATTGAGTTGGAGGTAGAGTAATAGTGTGAGGTAAACGCTTGTAGAAGTCACAGTTCCAAGCACGTAGACTGTATATATATATATATATTATTATTTGCTACTAACCGCATTTCTGGATCTACTAACCGTATTACCAATTGTATTATTGTGTAAATACCTTTATTTTCCTATATTCCTTCTTTGCGTTTGTCATTCATTGGAGACCGGATTTCATCCCGGAATCTACAACAGTTATCACGATGTGACACAAGTTGTGGTAACAGACTAAGAAAGAATACTGAAAAATTAAACTAGGCATTCGAGAAAAGTAATGAGAAATAACTAAGAGTTAATTAAAAAAAAACAAAAAAAAAAAAAAACAAAACAAAAAACGGAATACATGGTGGCGAGAAAAAAGGGCAAAATAGAATGAGAATTGATCATTAGGGACATCAAAATCAAGTATAAATAATAATGTGCATGCATTCACCTATCTAGGTATTGCGATAACAGATGGTGGAATGTCTGATGCAGAAATTGTAAGACACATAGTAATAGCGAAAAATAATTTTCAGAAATTGTGTAAGGTACAGAGGCATCGAAAAATAGCAGAATGAACGAAGAAAAGAGTGTTAGACTCCGATATGGCAGTGAAAACTGAAAGTTTTCTGCACAAATGTAAAAAAAGATCCTTATCAATAGAGGCATTTTGAGACGATGATGCGCAGATTACATAGGGGCCTTTAAAGAAACTGTTGCCAACAAGATATAGCTAATATTTAATTATATTGAGGAAAGAAAGCCGAGAGAATTTAACACTTAGGTGTTCACATCGAAGGCAAGTAACGAATGACCTATTTAACAACATCGTGCTAAAGAATGGTGGTTCAAAATTGTAGCGATAAGATTTCTTAGACATCCTTAGAAGATAACTAGATAGATTCTTTTTGCTTTGTATTAGCAAACATAAAATTTTGTTAGTGATTTTAGATAACCACAATTTCTTTGAAAAACTGACTTCCCAAAAGCTGAAGGGGAGGTCTCCCTTTCCAGAACACAAGTAGATGGATAGGGATGGTGGGACCCCAGCCATATAAACAGAGAGAGAGAGAGAGTCAGGAGAGAAGGGACGAGCGGTGAGTGAGTCAGCTTTTGCTGTGTCGAGCAGTGAATATAAGGGTTCCCTCTCCGTGACTGGGAGTTAGTAAGATGGCAGTTCACCCCGAAGCCGAAGGAAGACATTGCTGATTAAGTGAGAAATTCTATTGATCGCTATTTCCCAATTAGTGTCTTGAAAAACATTTATCTTTATTCTTTGTTGAATTCGATCACAGCCAAACCTGTGAACATAGCGAGCCCGGTGTATACGCATACACAGCCGACCTTGGATGTCATCACAGCTTGTCCAGTGACGTGCGAAAGACGTCGTCACAAAGTACCCCCAACCCTCAAAAGATTGATTGATTGATTCGTTTTCTACGGTTTATCAACCCATTGCATGTTATTTGAAGAATGTGAAATTTTTTGGTGGTAGTTGGAGGGGGGAGATAATAATGGTTTTTAGAAATTCCAAGTCATAGCTGGGAGGGCCAACAGGTGGATTCATACCTTCCCCAAGGGTATTTGCAAGCAAGTGAATATAACGAGCCGATCGAGAACTGGAACTCGGCTGTCTGATTTATAATCCTCAGTCGTTATCCTTTACACCGCCCGCACACCCAAATTTACTCTACCTGATAATTCCAAACAGTCACTCATCTAAAACAGCTAACCAGGCCAATGTTGCTTAACTTTGGTGGTCGTAATGGAACCGGTGTTTCAACGTGACCTGTCCGTTATCCACAACTCAAAAAGAGAGATTATAAAGGGCCAAGTATTACTGAAAGCAAAAAATACGGGAAGTTGTGAAGAGCCATCACTGTCCCCGTCTGAAGGAACAGGACAGACACACACATATACATTTCTCAATAGTATAGATTTAGTGGGTACACTTGTTTGAGTTTAACTATTCCTGTTCATTTTTTTAAACAGTGAAATATATATCAGATCGAATCTGTGCTTCTCGATAGAAAACGAACATTTTAATATGAGAAACAATATTCATGACAGGCATGCTTTACTATTAAGCTAGGAGAAGCTATTACAGCAAACAAAAGCCCAATTACCATATTTAAGAAATGCACACTTATCGTTGGGTCAGTTCAAAGCCTATATATGTAGGGTCTATCAAAAATCTTTTTACAATCTTTGGGGCGGGTTCCTCACACCAAAACAAGAACAAAAGTCCATAGAAACATATGTCCGCGAATCTTTCTTTTATGAGTTAAGTTTAAAGAACATTTGCGCTAGATGACGCTGTGTTGCTATGTTGACCAGGTTACATTTGTCATTGGTATACGTTTGTGGCTAATTTGTCTTCAACAATTAACGTATGTAGTAGTGTGTATTTCATTTATCAATGCCAGAATATTCATATCATGAGCATTTCAGACAGAAAGAAAGCTGCAGGATTTCTGAGACAATGTAGTAACGGAAAGCAAGAAGTAAGGACTAACTATCAATTTTCAGAAGACAGAACAAAAAACGAGCTACAATTTGGAGATATAATCTAGCAAGTGCGAAAAGTTAAGTACCTGAAAGTATCATGCGTATTTCAGCATTGCAGACATAGAAAGCTGCAAGAATTCTGAGACACTGTAGGAATGGAAAGCAAGAAGAAAGGAATAACTATTAATCTTCCGAACACGGGCCGCTAGAAAATGAGCTACAATTTGGCGAGATAATTTAGCACCTTTTGAAACGTGCTTTAAAAGACAACTAAAAATTTGTCACGGAAATCCAGCTGCACTGTAGTAGCGAAAGATGCCTTTATAAGACAAAACTATGTATTAAGAAAGAGGAATAATTTGATAGAAACCAAGAAAATAGTGTTGAATTTCTTTGTATTATAAATTCTCATGTGACAGTGAATGCTGGACAATTTCCTCACAGAAGAATAGGAGACTTGAGATGCGATTTTACAGAAGGAAGCTGAGAATATTATTGACGTAGCGTTTGAGCAACGAGGACGTTTTACATTTTAAGAAAAAAAGAAACAAAAAAGGATACATATAATTAGAATCAGAAAGTTGCAGTTTCTAGGAAACATAATGAGGAAAGAAGAGTTACAGAATTTTGCATATTCCTGCAAGAGGGTGACAGGGAAAGATTGAGTAACCTTATCAGAGAGCTTGTGCAAATAGATGACAGAACAAGACTTGGGTGGAATACTGAGGAGACAGTCATTATTTACAACTACAAAATATAGGAAGCCGTGGAGAGCACTGATCCCCCGAAGGATAATGAAAGAAAAATACTATTTTAAAAAAAACCAAAAAACGAGAAAATAAAGACTTTATTTCATTTTGTTACAATGACTCATTGCATTGGATGGATCCGGGTCCCGGCGCAGAGTCAAACGGTACAGATGTTTCTGTCATTTTAGAGTGATTTATCTTCAATCTATTTCCATCTAAGCTTATTTGCCGCCATTTTTGTCTCGCTATCGTCTGCCTTCTAGCAATCTTATTTACTATTTATTTATCAGACGGAGGCAGTTTGTCGATTTTTTTTCCTTTTTAGTGTAAAAGGACTTTCTAAAAGTAAATTTAGTAATCTGTCGGGCACGTAGCGCAATGGAGAAATATTTTAGGGTTTTCAACCGCCATCTTGGAAGCATTTTGACAGCAATGACATTGTATTAACACGACATTGCAGATAAGAATTTTGCTAATCTATCGTTTGAGAACAAAGATAGATCTATCTATCTATCTATCTATCTATCTATCTATCTATCTATCTATGTGTGTGTGTGTGTGATATTAAACAAGTAATCGCAATATCAAAAAGCAAACAAGAAGGCGTTGCATTTTACGCATTTAATTTACACAAAGAAGAATGACTTGGGGAAATTTCGAAAATTTATTGTCGAAAATTCTGGATAGATAATGTTTTTCATTCAATTATTTTTCATTTTCTTTGAGTTTTTTCATTTTGTTTTATGTTTTATTTTTCATTCAGGCACAACGTTCTTTTTGTTTTTTCATCATCATATATTTTCTTTCCCTAATACAAGGGTTGAAAAAAATTCATCCTTCTTTCTTTCTTTCTTTCTTTCTTTCTTTCTTTCTTTCAACCGTTGTATTTTTCTTTATTTTTTCTTTCAACACCTGAATTTTGCTTCCCTCTTTCTTTTTCTTTCTTTCTTTCTTTCTTTCTTTCTTTCTTTCAAAACTTGTATTTTTTATATTTTTCAACCCTTGCATTTTGCTTCCATCTTTCTTTCTTTCTTTCTTTCTTTCTTTCTTTCTTTCTTTCTGTTTTTCAAGCCTTGCATTTTGCGTTCATCTTTCTTTTCCTTCCTTCCTACCTTTCTTTCAACCGTTGTATTTTTCTTTCTTTCTTTCTTTCTTTGAAGTATATTTTTACTTCTTTTTCAGCAAGTTCTGTCTTTTATATTCCTTATGAACTAATAATATATATATATATATATATATATATATATATATATGAGTGTCGGTATGGGACATTATGAATAGGTAG